TCTGTGGGGGCTGGGATGATGGAGTCACAGGAGCGTCTGTGGGGGCTGGGATGATGGAGTCACAGGAGCGTCTGTGGGGGCCTGGGATGATGGAGTCACAGGAGCGTCTGTGGGGGCTGGGATGATGGAGTCACAGGAGCGTCTGTGGGGGCTGGTGTGATGGAGTCACAGGGGGGTTTGTGGGGCCTGAGATGACTGGTCTGTGTGTTTCCACTTTGCAGGCAGCTGTGCTAAGTTACCTGCTGTGATCTTGCTCTCTCCTTGTCCCAGAGGTCTGTGCAGGCTCAGTGTGAGGCTCCCATCTCTGAGAACAAGTAGAAGGTCCCCAGAAGCCTGATGAAGCTGGCTGGACAGCAGGCGTCCTGCTTGGTTCCACGTTCGAAACTGGAAGCTAACAGTGACACCATCTACCCCCGGGAAGCCTGTCAGGGCCAGGGAGCTCTGGGGGGTCAGGAACGTCACTGGCACCATCTGGGGCTGTGAGCAGGAGAACGACGTGCTGCCCTGGGACCAAAGGAGGGGGGTCATAGGTCAGGGCACGAGCTGTCACCGGGAGCTCCCACAAAACCCACTTCCATGGCACCGATCTCAGAGTACCATCCGCCTGACCCATCGTGAGGTCCCAATAAGCAGGTCCCTGACCCGTCTCCCATCCTTCCCTCAACGTAACTGAGTCCGGCGGACATTTGTAGTGCACTGGCTGTGCTTGCCGGGTGGGCACCAGCCCTGCCCTCCACCATCCCTCCGCTTCCATCTGTCCCCAGGCCCCCAGCCCCTGGATTACACAGATGTGGTCGATTGGGGCACCTCACCCAGACCAGACACTTTGTTCACTTTGTGTGGGTGTTTCGTGTGCTGCTCGGGCGAGGGTGGGGGGGCATTTCTCAATGGCTCAGCTTTGCTGTCAACACCCCTGCACTCAGGAGCACAGAAGGGGCCACTTTGGCCACATGGGGCCGGTGTCCCTCCTACGGTATCTCCCCACCACAGCCCCAGAGACTCCTACCATAAAGAAGACCCGTGGACTGTGACGCTTGGCCAAGCCAATGATGTCCTCTCCGTTGAAGTGGACATTCTCTAAGCAGCCCTGGAAATGCCTTCTTTGAAATGTCACCAGTTTTCCAGGTGCTGAAATCCCCCCGAAGCTGGTCTTAGAAAGAAAAATGACATTGGTAATACTCTTCCGTGACCTGAGAACTTGCTCAAAACCTCTCTGATTCATGGTCACGCAGGCATAGCTACCGCCCTGCATTACCATGCTTGCTCCTTGTCAATGAAACCCTAAGAAAAAAAAAAAAAGAAACCCTAAGAGACTCGCAAACGCTTTTGCTGTGGGTACCGATATCCCCGGCCACCAGAATGCTGCTCTCTGCCACCAGGAGACTGTGTGAGTTAACATCTGACTGTCCCTGCCAGCCCGCGAGGCACCCTCCTCCCTCAGCCCACCGAGGTCCCCACGAACAGCTTCCTTTAAGGATGGGGCTTTGCGTGCCTGGGCTAGCCCTTCTCTGTTGCTGCTGTGGGCAGGACAGTGGCATTGAAGAGCCTCAGGGGCCCCATGTGGCACAGGTGGGAGAGGCCTGCACTGCGGGGTCCCCTGTGCTACCAGGCTGACACCTCCCTGGGCAAGACTTTGTCTGGGATCACACCCCAGCTGCTCTCCTTCCCTGCCTGCTGCCCTCACCCTCCTGGCCCTGCTGTGGGCCCTCATGTCCAGGGTCCGGTCTGGGGGGTTGGACATTCCAGTCACAGAGTCCCCACCCTGGCAAGTTTGCCCCCACCTCATGATGAAGATCCAAGTGGCTCAGGTCCCCCGGTGCCTGGAAGTGCCTCGTGTGGCCATCTATTGTGAGGGTCACCTGCTGGCCCGCGTGCTCCAGGAAGACAGCATGCCAGTGCTGGTCGTCCAGGAGGCTGCCCAGTGCAGCGGGGCTGGGGGCATGCAGGGACGCAGGGGCCGCTCCACCTGGGGGCCCAGAAAGCAGGGCTGGCTCCACCTAACCGAGTGCAGGTTGGCTGAGAACGTCCCAACCCTGTGCTGCTGGCTGGCCCCAACCCTAGAACACAGGGTTACAGCAGCTGACATCACGCCCGCTCCGCTCCCAGTGACTCTGTGTGCCAGGGCAGAGCTGTGCCCATGAGGTTTCAAGGGCTGGCTCATCAGATATCTGCCACCAGGTCTTTCTTCCAGGGTCCTCCCTTGGGATGGGCTTGAAGCTCCAACCACTCAGTTAGCAGCCGGGCACGGGGTCTCCCAACAGTATGAACCCGGCTCACTGTGCCCAGTACGTGCACCCACGTCCTCCGATTCCACCCCTAGGACAGCCTCTCCTTGCCCCGCCCACTGCCCTCACTACCTCTCATGCCTGCACAGCCCTTGGAAATGTCTGCCACGAATTCTTGTTCGTACCACGGCATCTGTGCCCTTGTCTGATGATAGAACAAGGGTCCTCTCCAGGGTGATCTGTCCCCCAGGAGGCACCTAATGACATAATGACATTTTCGTGGTCCTAATCAGGGTTGCACCTTGTAGGAGGAGGTCAAGGATGCAGTAAGCACCCTACAATGTTCAGGGTGCCTCCCCCCAAGTCTGTTGAGCCGACACGTTGGTTGGACTGAGGGGGAAGCCCGGGATTCCACTAATAGCTGCATTTACCCATGAGCAGAGTGTGAAGGCTGCCGCCCTGGACAGCGGGGACGCGTAAACATTCCCCACGAGCACACGGCTACAGACACAAGGGAGACCTGTGTGTCTGTGAGGCCTGGGAGAGGCTGGCACCAAACACGTTGGCACGCACGCAGGGCATCCACGTACTCAGGTGATGGAATCCTTTCTGGTACAGGTACCTGAGCTGCCGAGTAACAAGAGCCGCCCTCGGACGAGTGCCAGGGTGATGTGAGCTCCGTCTGTCCCCTCCCTGTGGAGCAGGACCCCCTCCTTCTGCCTCGTCTTGAACTTCAGAGAAATGGCATCTTTCGCTGGGAGCGCGACATTCAGAGCGGGTCTGTAGATCAGGGAACTGTGGCCATCGAAATCCACCACCTCCGATCCTGCATAGAGATGGTAAGTCCCTCTAAGTCTGCCTCCTTCTCCTAGAAGTGCTCCCATGTACGGGCACACAGACGTGCACACACACAGATGTGCACACAAACACACATGTCCATGCACGTCAAATGCGACCTTGCTGACCTGTCGAGAGCTCTGGTGCTGCCGTGGTTAAGAGTTCGGCTGCCAACCAAGGTGCTGCCTGCAGTTCAAAACCACTGGCCACCCCAAGGGAGAAAGACGAGGCTTTCTACTCCCGTAACAGCTTGTCTTGGAAACTCACCGGGGCAGTTCCGCCCTGTCCTCTAGGGCAGCGCCGAGCCCGGTGTCTCGGCGTTTCTCCCGACAGGTGCTGATACCTGCAAATTCTATCTGCAGCCTTTCCTAGCAACATCCCCCGACGTTCACCACAGTGGATGTTCTTCTTAGAGCTGTGGGCATGGTGCGACTCCATCGAAGGGGGCTGTGAGTAGGAATCAACCCCACACAGTGAATTGTGTTCTGTTTGCAGCCAGACAGTGGTGATTCAAGCCACAGAACAGGCTTTCCAGACGGTGCTGTCAGTCTGACCCGTGGACTGTGTCCATCGCCCCATGGAGGGGCTTCCTCCTTTTGGACCTCCGCACCACCAAGTGCGTGAGAAAAAGTCTCACCATCCTGGCTCCAAACCTAGTGCAGAGGGTTTGTTGAAAAGACCCAGATCGTCACCGTGGGCAGGAAAGTGCGCGTATCTGACGGGGATGGGGTTGTTCACCAAGGCTCCCGGACCTGGACATTTTCCCAACGTTTTCCAGAGTCAAATGGCGCAGGACTGCCCTGGCGTCCTCTGCTGAGACCATCGCCACGGGCAGCACGCCCAGTCCCCAGGCCACACCAGTTTGTCCTCTGAGCAACACCTATCCTCAGGTCATGTGAACTGTGTCTCTACGAGGTGGTGTGGTCCCACCGGCGGCTGAACTGACAAGCACCTTAGAGCAGCCTGGAACATCTCAGCCCCACGCCTGCCATGCCTGTGGCTCTGGCTCCACTCAGGAGCTGGTTCGACCCACAAGCCTCCGGGGCTGTGGGTTCCTCAGACCAGCAGCTGAAGACATTACCAATTCCCTGTCATGCCGTCTTTATCCCCTGGGCATCTGCCATGGTCTCTTCTTGTGACAAAACACACCTCTCCTCCAGAAATGACTTCACCACAGTGCTATCAATGGTCTCATGATCACGGCGCTAGCTATAACCTATTTCTTCTCTCAAGTAGTCAATATCTGATCAGATCATCATAATATCTCTGAGGTAGTTAGTTTATTGTGCCACCCTGGCTGATAACACATCTGGGGTTAATTGAAAGGTGGAGGGATAAATGGCTCAGTGAGCCTCACCTTTCTAGTTCTCAGGTCTCTTGCTTTCTGATGGTCAGACCAGGGTGCAGCTGCCTTAGCCAGTTCCCTGCTTTAGCTGGCAAGGCTCACTTCCTGAAAGACATCCCTGAGGAGAAGCCACATGGACCTACCCCGATGCAGCCCTGGGCGCTGGAACACCCGTGCGGAGAACCCTGCCAGCGCTGAGATGTTTACACATTCACTGACTTGGCTTTCTGCCTGCAGTGGCATCATTACATCTGTTTTGTGAGATGGAGGAGGACTTTGTGGACTGGTGTGGGACATATGGGTTAATGATGGACTTGTGGGCTTGGGCAGCACTGGGTTGAGATGTTTTCTTGATGCGCACTTAACCTTTATATAAAACTCTCTCTTATACATGAGTTTCTGTGGATTTGTTTCTCTATAGTACCCAGACTATCACAATCTCAAAGCGGTCTCACAGCTGGGCTCAGACCCCTGCCCCCAGTCCCTCAACCCACTTCCTTCTTGTTTCAATACCTGACCTGAGGCAGATCTCATGTGTTCATGGAGGGAGGATATACCCACTTGAGGATCTGCCCTTATTCTACTGCTGAAAAGCCAACCATCCCAGCAACAGGGTCATCATGAGCAGCTACACGCAGCGGCAGCACAGCGCAGGTTGCCATGGGGATGCAGCAGGTTGCCATGGGGACAGAGAGGAATGGTTTCTGACCTGGAAGTTGTCGGGAAAGAACAGGACCGAGAGGATCCATTTTCCACTCAATGATCCAAACACATTTTATTACAAGTTCCTGACTGAAGTCCTTCCAACCACACACACTGACTCCGCTTCCTCCCTGAGCTCCCTGTCCCCAGGCTTCCTGCTCCTCTCACTCGGACACTGTCCTTGTAAGGCCACCCTTTGCATCTCTCTCGGGGGCAAGCACCTCCCTCGTGTGATTTCCCTCAGAGACCTGTCTCTCGTGGGGCCGTCGGGGTGAGCTCATGTCCAGACCTGAGGGTCACTGAAAGCCATGAGCTCGGGGGTTCCACCAGGCTTTCGCTGACCAGTGAGCCTGCCTATTAACACAGTATTGAGTTTTGTTCTGTCAATCTGCACTCAACTCATTTTAAAAGCTTCAATCAGAAAAGAGAGGTGTGTGTTATGAGAAAGAGAGGCCGGGGGAGACATAGGAGTTACATATAAACCTTTAAAAACAGAAAAGAAAAGAAAACGGAGTCGGGGGCTGAGTAAGGACTAGAGGAGGAGGCAAAGAACCCCGGCACAGGGCCGTGGTGGTGAAGCATCCACGGGGCTGAGTTCCACCACAGACCCAAGGACCGTGCAGCCTGAGGGTGACTGCCTGGTGAAGGGTGTGAGGGGAGGGGGTGCTGGTACAGCCTGGGACCCCAGGGATGGCTGCACTTGGTGCATTCGGACAGGGTGTGATACTGCTGCTGGTTCCACGGTGACTCGGACGCTGCCGGTGCTGCCGTCTACATCCATGGTGCCAGTCACTGCGTGTCCCACTCCAAAGGGTCCCGATCATGTCTCCTCCCAGGGTGTCTTTTCTAGCGACTGGCCTTTCCTGATGGCGTGAGATCTAAGGGGCATTCCAGTCTCACTTCCGCAGAGACAGGCTCATGGGTTCCTCTGGCATCCGGGGAGTATGTTCCCAGTGTGCCTCACCAGCTGCCCTCCTTTCCCCTGGTCCAATGGGGCAATTGAACAAGCCATGAGAGCCCTGGCTGGGGTTAGGAGCACCTCAGTCCTCACAGTGACATCTTTTCTTCTTGTGGTTCGATATGCTTGTGTGTGTGTGTGTGTGTGTGTGTGTGTGTGGTGGGGTGGGGGCATTTAACAACGGAAAACATCCATGCTAAAACACTTGGGACATGGAAGCTGAGTGTGAGGAGAATGCTCCTTACTGGGGAACCTGTCCTCCTCCTCGGTTGCTTGGGGTGTGGCATGGACAGACAAGGATGGCAGTCATTGGGCACAAGGGGTTGGGGGCCAACTTCACTGCTATCAAGAGCCACTGGGTGAGGGGAACAGAACCGAGTACATTGATGAGATTTTCACTCAAGGAGTCTCTGCCCCCTGCTGACGGAGGTGCACGGAAGTGCCGGGGCTCAGGCAGAGCCTGCTGTGGTCAGTGGGGTGGAGCGTGGAAGGGCCCTAGCAGGAGCAGTGGCCCCGGGATTCCAAGAGATGGGCGGCTTTTCACCACGTGGACTGTGCTTGTCAGGCTGGGGCTGTGTGTGGTTCTCACCACGTGGACTGTGCTTGTCAGGCTGGGGCTGTGTGTGGTAGTCCTGGGCTCACGTGGCTGTGGGGCATGGTGGTTCCCAAGATGGGGGCCCTGAGCGAATGACTGCTCTTGGGGAGCCTGCGAGAAGCAATCCTGTTCACCACGGAGAGGCGCTCAGAGCCCATGGCCCTGGAAGGTGCTGCAACCCATCTGAAGAGACCTGGCGAGCCTACAAGGCATAGAGTTACCAGGTGGGCTACTAACTGCAAGGTCAGCGGTTTGAAACTCTCAGGAGAAAGATGGGGCTCCCATAAAGAGCTGCTCCCAGGGCAGTTCTTCTCGTCTTCCAGGGTGGCTGTGGGTCAGCATTGACTGGAGGGCAGGGGGTCTGCATTTCTGGAAGCGCAGGAGGCAGCCGGGGCAGCACATGGGAGAGACACCGTGCCCAGAGGCTCTGTGCAGGGCAGGCGAGGGAGAAGGTTAGGGCGCTGGCACGGTGCGGAGCGCTGCTTCGCTGTGACCGCGATGGTGCGTGGCACAGTTCATAGTGTGGGGCCGCCGCCCCGCCCTCACCAGCAGAGGTCCTTCCTGCTGTGCATGGGCCGCCCTCCTGTTCCGAGGGAGAGGGGCTGAACCATCCCGAGGAAATGGCGGAATCGCCTTTGTTCTGCGCACAGGCACACGAGCATGGCCTGTTACAGAGGAGCGGGCCAGGAGACACTACCCTGGGTGCTGCCCAGAGCCGTGAGGGAGGCAGTCGCTACGGGGCACCAGGCGCTCAAAGAGGGAGCGGCAAGGCGGGGTGGGGGTGGGGGTGCTGGCCAGAGCCCCAGGCAGACGTGAGGTTGTCTGGAGTGAAAGGCGAAGGACAAGGAGACGCGGCGCGGAGGTGGGGGCAGGAAGGAGCCGGCGTAAATGTCCCTGAGGCAGCCAGCCCATGCAGATCCAGCTGCAGCCATATGCTTCCACGAGCTGAGGTGAAGGCACGGCCCTGGCATTGTCCCCTCCGTCCCACTTGTCCAACAGCCTGGGCCCTGGCTCCCAGCGTGCCCAGACAGCCTCCACCTGGCGTCCGTCTACTCCGGGACAGAGGTTGCTGATGGGACACCGAGTGGCCAAGGTCAGTGACACCATGCTCCGTGCCTTCTTGGGGGGCCTTAGGGAAACTCTGGACACCAGGCTCCTGGGAGATCTGGTGCCATGCTGCCCAGACGGCATTCTCCCTGCTGCTGTCCACCCACAAGCCCGGCAGGGGACACTGGCCTCTGCTGCCTGCTCTGCCCTGCACCTGCCCTGTGCCCCTCTCTGGGGTGCAGCCAGGCGCCCCCAGTACCCATGCTGGTTGGGCACTCACAGTAGGCATCCACCCAGTGCCCCATACTCTAGGGTGCCAACCAGTGCTCCCGCACCCGGCACTCACAGTAGGCATCCAACCAGTGTCCCGCGCCTGGCACTCACGGTAGGTGCAACCATAGAGCTCCACACGCATGCCAATGCGGCCATCTCGATGCCAGGTGGCTGGCAGGAAGCGTAGGTGCCGGGACTCCAGTGGAGGCCGCAGCCGGTACAACACCACACTGTCAGCGTTCGTGTTCCCAGGGAAGACCTGTAAGGGTGACAGGGTCAGCATGAGGCTCCACGTCCCTCCCCTGGCCTCACCACCCCCTTACGCCCACTCCCACCTCCAACCCCTGACCGAACCAGGGCCTCTGCCCCCAGAGGAACCACGGGGTCCATGGAGAATCATTCAATCCAAGGCACCCTGGACTCGGAGGACAGCAGGGGGCGTGGCTCTCAAGGTCCCCAAGGGACCCCACCCAACTCTGGGACCAAGGCCACCTGCAGGCAGGGACAGGACAGATGAGGGAGAGACTCCCCCAGCAGAGACAGGGGGCTGGCACCTCTGCTCCCCACCAGCCTCCAGAGCACCCAGGCTCATACTGCAGACTGGGTGCTTTATGGAATGTTCCTCCCGGTCCCTTATCCCCACTGCATGAGCTGGCCCTTCATGTTTCAACAGCCCGAGAGGCTCCCTGTCCAGTAGCGCCATTTAACTTTCGTGTCTTAAAATGCAAATGCAGGAAGAGACCTGGCAGTGTGAGTGTGAAGTTGTGTGTGTTCCCGTGAGCATGTCTATGCTTGCGTGTGTGCATGTGTGTGCATATGTGCATGTATGCACATGTGTGTGCATATGAGCAGGTGTGTGTGCACGTGTGTGCTATTCCCCATCACATGCTTATCTTTGTTGACAATGTTGCACTTTTCTGAGCCCTGTGATTCCAGACAGCAGTGACGCCTTCTGGTTTATGACATGCCCTTTGCCAAGGACCCCTTCCCCCTCCCACACACACACACACACTGCCCCCAATGCCCTCTGCCAAGACCCCCCACACCGACACCCTGGCTCCCACCCAAGGCTTAGCTGAGATGCCAGATGTCCCAGCAGACCCTCCAGGTCACCATTCTGTGCCCCCTGGAGGATAAGCAGAGATGAGTTTTCATTTGGACAAAATGTGGGCTAACCAAGCTCTTGTTCTTTGCTCCTTCCCCAGGAAGGTGGGCCACCCAGAGTGGGCAACTAAGAGCAAGCGAGCAACTCATTTTCCACCTTTCCCCTAGCGACAGCAGCTCCCTCTCTGGAAGGGAGCTGGATGGACACGGGGGCTGCAACAGGGGCTCCGACACGACAGTGCTGGTGAGAGTGGCGCAGGCTGGACACTGTTCCCTTCTGTTGGGTACTGGGTCCCTGTGAGTCAGTTACAAGCTTCCCTGGTGGCGCTACTGGAAAAGCATTGGACCACTAACCCCAACATCAGCAGTTCAAACCCAGGCGTCTAACTCCCCATGATGGCAGTGGGTCTGATGTGGGTTACATCAGTTACAGTAGCATAAATCATTTAAACTTAAACACCAACAACAAAACAGTGAAGAGAGGGAAGAGTTAAATTCTTTAAAAAAAATTTTTATTGGGGCTCATACGACTCTTAACACAATCCATACACACATCCACTGTGTCAAGCACATCTGTACATTCATTGCCCTCATCATTCTCAAAACATTTGCTCTCCACCCAAGCCCCTGGCATCAGCTCCTCATTTTCCCCCTCCCTCCCCGCACCCCATGAACCCTTGATAATTTATAAATTACTATTTTGTCATATCTTACACAGTCCGAGTCTCCCTTCACCCACTTAGGAGATTATATGTAGATCCTTGTAATTGGTTCCCCCTTTCCACCCCACCCTCTCTCCACCCTCCTGGCAGCGCCACTCTCAGCACTGTCCTGAGGGGATCATCTGTCCTGGAGGAAGATCTAATTCTGCTTGTTCATTCAAAAGCAGCTAAGTGCATCGTGGAGCAGCCCCACTCGTGTTTGTCCTCTTTGTGCTTGTCGGCAGATACGTCGGACCCTCTAAGAAGTCTTCCCACGCTGGCTTCAGTACTCGTTTCCCTAGCATCATCATACCAAAGCTCCAGGAAGATGGATTTAACCTTCAACTTCCCAGTAGGAATGCCGTTTGTGTGCCATTGCAGTCGGTCAGCTGTTGTCCAGTCCTGATGCAGCCGGCTGAACCTCAGGCACCAGCTGTTGTGCTCCGATGACCCCTCACAGTTTGCTGTGGGCCCAACCCTGCTCATCACGGAACACAGAACCACTGGGAGGCTCAAGCCCTGCTTGTGTTGTTTTTTAAGTCAATGTCTAATCATTTTCCCAGGTGGAAATTTAAGTTTGAACTTTACAAAAAGTAGTCAAAGTCAACAAATGTTTTCAATGCTCATGCATTGTTCTTATCTTGAAAATAAGGAGTTCAAAGTATTTTGGACTAGGATTTCAATCAGCCTTCTTGTAATCTCTCCAAACAAGGGTGGTCCCAGAAGCGCCATACATATTGTTATAGGTTGATTTATATTTCCAAAAAGGTATTTTAAGCCCTAATCCTGGGTATCCATAGGTGAGTGGCATGAGGTCAGACTGGAATCAAGTGGGTCCTCACCCATCTGAGGCGTCGAAGTATGTGTGGCTACGCCCTGGGCTGCTAACTGCAGGGGGAGTGATGACGGTGATAGAAATGAGGCCGGAACCAAACGGAGAGCGTGGCCGAGATGATGACAGGGGATAAAAAGGGCAACACGTGACTTGAACGGTTCGAGCCTGATACACGTTGGGCCTGATCTGTGTGTGAGTGTGTGTGCGCGTTTCATATGGGGCTTATCTCTGATGTAGTTGTCACTATGAGTAGCTTTCTTGAATCTTTGTTAGGTGTTTCCTGGTATATGAAACCCAGTGTTGATGAACCAATAGAGACCAACAGTAGAATCCCGCTTCCTGGGAGGCAGGATGAGGGAGGTGGGGCAGGGGGCATAACAGGGAGCTGATATCAGAGTTCAAGTAGGAAGAAAGTGCTTTGGTAGCATTTGTACAAGACTGCTCGACGTGACTGACATATGAAATGGTGTGATATCTGTATGGTTTTGAAAAAACAATTATAAAAAGTTAAAAAACTGCAAGACCAGCAACTTGTTCATAGCAAACTCTTTTTTCAACAACACAAAAGGCAACTAGACACATGGGTGTCTTCAGATGGAGCTCAAGGATTGTGGTCTTCAGTGTGGATTACAACTGAACGTGAAACAGACCCAAATCCTCACAACATCATGGTCGATGGAGAAAAGGTTGGTCTTGTGAAGGATTTTGTTTTGCTTGGACCACAACCAACGCTCACGGAAGCAGTAGCCAAGAGAGCAAGAGGCCTTGCATTGGGTGGATCTGCTGCACAAGACAAGACCTCTTTGAAGTATTAAAGAGCAAAGATGTTCCGTTGAGGACTAAGGTTGGCCCGAGCCAAGCCGAGGTGTTTCCCATTGGCTCATAGGTGTGTGGAAGTTGAACACGGAGTAAGGACGACCAGAAAAGCACCGGTGCATTTAAGTTGTGCTGGAGAAGAGCATGGTGGCGCCTCAGACTGCTGCAGGGACAGACGGGTCTGTCTCGGGGGAAGCAGGGCCGAGTGCTCTTTAGAGCAAAGAGGGCATGACCTGTCTTACACACTTTGGACACGTTGTCAAGGAAGACCAGGCCCTGGAGAAGGACACCCTGCCCAGTAAGGCAGAGGGCAGCGACACAGAGGCAGGCCCCAAGGAACTGAGCGGACACCGCGGCTGTAGCGATGCTCACGCACGGAGCAATGGGGAGGCGCGGGAGCAGCCATTTCTGTGCCGTGCCTTAGGGTGACGAGGGGTCGGAACAGGCTCGAAGGCCCTAACTACAAGTCCCCGAGGAGCTGCGGTCTCAGAAACTCTCAGGGCCAGCTCTGTCCTGTCCCACAGGGTGGCAATGAGTCAGAAGTGACTCAATGGCAGTGAGTTTGGATTTTAGGTCCATCTGAGTGGTGACTTTATGACAAAGATGCACACAGGTCAGGACAAGGACAGCCTGATCCAAGTGAAGCTGCTTCTGATGCCCCATAAGCTGCAGAGTCAGACGATGAATAAGGAAGATCAGGGAAGAACTGATGCACTGAGATCATTGTGTTGGCAAAGAACGAAGACCATCTCTGGAATTACCAGAAGAACGGACAAGCCCACACAGGAAGTGTTACAGCCAGAAAGCTTCTTAGCGGTGAGGAGGAAAGCAAGACTTCATCCCACACGTGTTACCAGCAGGGCCAGTCCCTGGAGAAGGACACCATGCTGGGGAAAGTCGAGGGCAGCGACAAGGGGGTGGGCCCTCCGTGGCAGATGGACCCAGTGGCAGCAGCAGTGGGCTCACACACAGCCCCAGCGCGAGGCTGGCAACAGCAGGCCACATGCACATGCACGTGGTCAGGAGTCCTCCGGAACTTCTTCTCGAGCTCACAGTTTATGCACAGCACCATGCGCACATCATTCCGAGAACACACGCGAACCTGTACTTGAGATGATTAAACCGAAGGCTGACCCGTGTGGACTTCACGGACATATCTGCAACCACTCACCGTCTCAGATACAAGAGTCCCCAGATCTGAAACATGCTTAGTAAGGAGAAGACTTATTCATTCTTAAACAGAAAGAATCAAGAGGAGGCACAGCAGCGGGACGAGGGAGACGCTTCGCCCTGAGTTGCGATGGTGTCCAAGGGGTGCTGGGGTTGGGAGACGTAAGTAAGACGCAGAGGGCAGAGGATGCAGTCACAGGAGCACGGTCCATGGCAGACCACACATCACTGTTGGCAGGTGAGGACACGGTGAGGGACCGCGATAGGGACTGTGCAGGGCAGGAGAGCTGGCGAGATCAGCTCGGGATCCTCTGGCCAAGGCAGTCAGGATGTGACTCTCGACCTCGCGACTCCAGCACCCAGTTCTCATTAAGGACACGCCACTATGCGAGTCCCTAAGGGCTTTGCTGCTTCTCCGGGACTGGCCAGGGGAGTGACAGACATCCACTGTCTAGGACCCTCTGTCAGCCTGAGGGCAAAGCCAGTCCTGCTGCTGGTTAGCGGTCAGGGCAAGTCAAGGGAGGTTGAATTTATGTGGTGACTTAGGACTTTTGTTACATTGTAGAAGATTTATATTTATATTATATAGTAGACTCACATGACAGGGTGGTTCTCGAAGATTTTCTCAATCTC